TTTTTTAGGTATCATCCACAGGTACCTATACTGTAGATAGGTCTTAGTCATCAGGTCTACTCCACTCCCTTGTTGCCTGCTTAGACTCTTGGCACTCTTAGGTGAGCAGACTTAGTCAGCCTGTGTTGCCTCAACATCTCCTTGCTGCTTCTTGCTTTTATTGGACTCCTGATTTGAGGATACTTTCAATATCTGGCAGTGTGCCCTGACAACAACATGGGACATGGGACACAGGACATGGAACACAGGACATGGGACATGGGAGACAAGATGCCAGACACATGGGAGGCATGAACTATGTAGCAGATGAAAGACCCTTCCACCTGAAATAATGAGTGAAGCAAGACAGGCTCCCCTAGTATGGTTTCAAATTATTGGTGAAAGACAGTGGACTTGCATATGATCATAAGGTCAGAATTTAATAAAGCATACAACAGATAATCCTGTTCAAGGGAATACTGAACACTCATAAGCCACATTAACAAGATTCCATTATAGTACTCCTCCCCACTTGAGGGAGTTGGGTATGGCCTTCAAAATGCCTATAAGAAGCTTTGAAATGGAGGGACCATGCCATTGAACTCAAGCCTGGGTTAGAACCCAAAATCTCACAAGTCTACCCACTATCTCTGGATAAACAGAAGGAGTTGGATGAGTTCCTGAAAGAAAACCTGGCCTCAGGGTGTATTTGATCATCCAAGTCTCCTATGGCAGCACCTGTAGTTTTTGTGAAGAAAAAGGATGGGTGATTGCACCTTGTCCAAGATTACTGGAAGCTGAATGAGATGACTATCAAAAATCAATATATCCTTCCACTCATTTCAGACCTGGAAAATAAGCTTTGCCATGCTCAGTTCTTCACCAAGCTGGATATATGATGGGATTATAACAATATTCATCTTAAAGAAGGTGATGAGTGGAAGGCTGCTTTTTGAACCAATTGGGGACTGTTAGAACCATTGGTCATGTTCTTTGGCCTCACCAACAGTCCAAGCACCTTTCAAATGATGATGAATAAAATCTTCCAAGAGCTCATTGATGAAGGACATGTTGTGGTATACCTAGATGACATCCTCATCTTCTCTGAAGGACTTTCTCAACACCAGCAGACTGTACAACAAGTCTTGGACATCCTACATCAGCACAAGCTCTATCTGCATCCTGCCAAGTGTGAATTCAACAAAACAACCATTGAATACCTTGGTTTGGTTATTGGTCAAGGAACAGTGGCCATGGACCTGGTGAAAGCAGAAGGAGTTGCGCAATGGCCAACACCAACCAATCTCACTGAAGTCCAATCCTTTGTTGGCTTCTGCAACTTCTATCAATGCTTTATCAATGCCTCTCCACTATGGCTAGGCCACTTCATGACCTGACTTGCAAAGAAACCCCCTTTGTTTAGGGTGAAGATCAGCAGAAGTTGTTCAAGGCACTTAAGCAAGCTATCACAACACATCTGATACTTGCCTTTCCAGATGAAGACAAACCCTTCTGCCTAGAGGCTGATAGCTCTGATTATGCAACTGGAGCAGAGCTATCCCAACTGGGTGATGATGACAAGTGGCATGCAATTGCCTTCATGTCCAAGGGCCTCTCTGAAACTGAGTGCAACTATGATCTCCATGACAAGGAGCTGCTTGCAATCATTTGTGCTCTGGAAGAATGACAACACTTCCTGGAGGGTGCCAAATATCCTTTTGACATTTATACTGACCACCAGAACCTCAAGTACTTCCAAACAGCTCAGAAGCTCAAGTACTTGCAACCAAAGCTCAAACTGTATGGTCTCTACCAAGCATTAAAGGTGTTTCAAATCTGGCTCATTGGTGTTCCGAATTTTGATGTTGAGGTCAACACAAAATACATCCAAGGAATGCTGAACCACCCCGACATACAGCCAAGTGTCATCCTGAATCAGTGGATCCACTGGATCCATCTGTTCAATTTCAAACTCCACCATGTCCTGGCAGAACGACATACAGCACCAAATGGCCTTTTGAGACAACCTGTGGCCTGCCAATCCAATATTGATGACCGGTTCCCCAAATTCAAAGATGATGACACCCTCGGCTTGTCTTATATGTTCGTATTGGAACAGTCCCTTTGAAGCCTTGTTCCAATTTTTTTGAACCCCCCAGAAGAGGTGCTACCTAGGCTCAAAAAGATGAAAGAGGTAGACAAAAAGATCCTAGCAATTTGACAATACCTAAGGAACTTTTGAAGACCTCAAAGTCTAACAGATGTGCAATGGAAGTCATTTCTAGAAAAAATGTCACATTACTTCCTCAAAGGCCAGGACAATCTGTACAAACGGGACAAAAATGGAGAACATTGGCTATATATTGAATTTGAGAAGAGTATCAATGTCCTTCAGAACATGCACAATGAGATTGGACACAGGGGCTTTTGAATGGTATAGAACCACATTCGACTTTGTTTCTTCTGGCCAAACTTGATGGATGATACAAAATGGTACCTAAGGACATGTGACAAATGGCAACAACAACAGATGAGACATGTGGTTATTCCACCCACAGTGCAGATGCTGCAACTGCTATTCTTCCAAGCTCACTGTGACACAATGTTCATGCCACCTTCAAAAGGTCAATATCAAGAAATGAGGTACATTCTGCAAGCTCAGTGTTTGCTTATGCACTGGCTGGAGTACATGACCTGCCAGAAAGAAATGGCCAAGGTCATCAAAGACTTCATTCATAAGAATATCCTCTGTTGTTGGGGTGCTATTGGCAAAATTGTCATGGATAACAGTTCTCCTTGGATCAGTGCTATGAATTCCCTCAAGGAAAAGTACAACTTGAACCACATTTGAATTTGGAGCTATAATTTGAGGGCAAATGGAATAGTCAAACAGAGTCATTGCATGGTTCGAGAATCAATTATCCATTTGACATCAGAAGACAAGTCAAAATGGCCTGAAGTGGTTCCAGCTGTATTCTGGGCACAAAGAATATCTATTCACAGTGCTACAGGAATGAGTCCTTTTTATATGGCTCATGGAATCCACCCTCTGCTGCCAATGGATATTATAGAGGCAACTTGGTTAGCTCTGCCCCCAGATCAACTTCTGTCATGTGCAGACTTAGTGGCATTCTGCGCTTGACAACTCCTAAAGAGACCAGAGGACTTAGCAGAAATTGAAAGGAGGATTTCAAAAGCTTGATACATGAATGCAGAAAGGTTTTGAGAATGATTCAAAAACCTGATGTACAATCACAATTTTGAAATGGGTGACTTAGTCCTCATAAGGAACAGCAGACAGGATGGCCCCCTCTGTGATAAGATGCAGAGTTGATATATGGGACCATATATAGTGGTCAAACAGAGATCTGGAGGCGCATACATAGTGGCTGAACTCGACAGTTCAATATTCCAGCATACTATTGCCAAGTTCAGGGTAATTCCCTACCTGGCCCGGAAAGACATGTTGAGTGCAGTTGAGATGGTCCTTTGAAATCTCAAAAACACAGACTTCGAAGTGAACAAACTGGACCATGAAGCAGAATTCAAACATTTGAATGAGGAAGTGGAGAAGAAGAGGAGGAAAGCAAGAACCAGGAGATAGGTGGAGATGTTGTGGAAGACAGAGACAAAGGAGAAGACTTCAAAGTTTGAGAAGAGGATTTGGACTGGCTCGCCCTCCGATTTGATCTTGGAACAAAGATTTGAACAGTACATTAGAAAGGAATGACTTCACTATACCCATACTGAGAAGTGTATCTCTGTTGATACAGAATGCATATGTATAATGCTCATTTTGAACAATCACATGACCATTTTTGACACTATTTCTTTCCACTGCACATTAACTATAGTACATGTCAAAATTGGGATATTTCTATCTACAACCCAATCCCTTGATACCTGCCACAACTCTGTATTGACACTATGAATCAAGACCTTTGAACAATGAAATAAAAGAAAGATTCTGTTCCAAGAGTCAGTTCAAGCAACACTGGACACAAATCTGAGATACTCACATTTGGCCTGCTGCTTGCCCTTGTCTGCCCAGCAGGAGGACTCACCCTTCTCACTTGAGTTGTCATGACAATGGTGGTAGGCCACCTGGGCCTTTTCCAACTCCTTGTTGACCACCGGAATCAGCTTGCCCCTTTGGATATGATAGATGGCATTGGCAGCCCCATGGGCATTCTGAGGTGACACCATAACTGAGAAGTTGTCATCGTCGATCTCACCAGATTTCCTGAGGTCAGAGTGAAGAATGCGAAGGCTCTCGCTGTGCACAAGGTGTAGGCATTCGGAGTCACAGATGAGGTGGTGAAGGCACTGCACTGTTCAAAACATGTTAGAAGAAGTATCAAAAATGATAATGAAAGACTCACGGAATGTGCCGGAATGCTTCAAGAATGTGGGGAAGTCTGCATCCCTCCATGCCATCTCTGTGCTCATGACCACATCCGGGATGGTAAACAAGAGCTTGCCCTCTGTCTTCATGGTACTGGATTTCGCCCTCTTGTTGGGCCTCTTTGAGTTGTCACTGGTTATGTTGACCATTGCCTTGTGTTTTGAACCAGCAGCCTTCAAGCCTTTGCCGGCAGTTTCCTTATCTGTTCAAATCAGTATCAAAATTTGAATGCCAAGAAAAACACTTACCACACATGAGGAAGCTACAACTGTAGCCCTTGCACTGGCACAAGTTGCATGAGTGACCAACCTGCTTCAGCTTGCCCTTCCAGTTGACATCCAAGTGATTCCACCCACCAGTGCACCATTGGCCCTCTCTGTTGGAGCCACACATTTTGCACTACAATGGAGGTTAGACAGGATCTAGGCGGATAAGGGATAGACATACTGGAATGGCATTCTCACAGAGGACTCAGAATGTCTATTTGAAGTTAGAATCAGAACTTGAAAAGACAAGGGAGAAACACTTATGTTCTTGAACCCTTTCACCTTCATAAAGTAAGAGATCAGCCATACTGGTGACAAGCACATGTCCATGATGGACAAACAGTCCCCATGAAGATGGTCCAGATTGAGCTTTGAAAGGATGTCAGCCAAGATACAAACTCTGATTTGAAGACATACCAAAGCATCAAACTTGGCAGCTGTCCTAGCTGCCTTAGTTGTGCCCTCGAGGGCTTCCAGCATGTGGGACCGGAGGACCAGGACCAAGTCAGCAACTTGAAGGCCAGCAACTCAAAATGACTTACACCATTGGGCATGGGCAGCAGATCCGGCTTGGCTTCCACAGCAAGAGCCAAGAGAGCTGCACTGAGCTTGTTCTTTGGCGCCTTAACAACTTTCTTCAAGTCATTGGGAACAGGAGTTGTTTCAACCATGGATGGAGATTTTGAGGGCAAACAAGGTGGAGAAGTGGTGGCAGAGATGGAGACCCTTGACTGGGAGTGCCAAGTAGGGATCTCCACAACAATGGTTGTCTTTGGACAAGCCTGAACGGAAGCTGGCTTCACAGGCGAGTGCACCAGGGTTGCCTTCTTGGGTGAGGAATCAAAGTTGCCACCTTCAGAACTGGAAGCAACAGACTCCCTTCAAGACCGGCTTGGCAATATGTCTGCATGGCAAGTAGGTGCTGCGCCTGCTTGGCTGTGGACAGAGCATTCCACACCTTCTCCTTGGCTTTGATCGCCGCTTTGAGGTTCTCGTCTGGCTGTTCAAACATCAGTCAGCAGGATTGAAATGGGAAAAACGCTCAGCACACCTCCTTGTTGCCAGCCAGAGTAGCCTCATGCTCTGTCTGATGCCTGAGGGCCCAAGTATCAAAGGGAGGTTTATTGTCCCTCCCCATCACAGCCTTCCTGTCCCCCTCTACCCACTCCTCAAAGGGCGAGTACACTGGCCCTCTGCATGCCAGCAACTTCACAGTGAGTTGATTCCCCTGCAAGACAATTAGAAAACCGCAACCAGGAAAGGGATAACCCACAAACCATTTTTGTGTGCCATTGCATCTGGAATGCAGGGCCCATGAATGACGCAGCAGTCGAGGGCATGGCCACCCAGTACTTCTTCCTACTGTGCCTCAAAAGGAACTTGATGAGCTCAATCTGCCAAAGAAGTTACATCTGAAGTTCGAAAATAACAGAAAGGCTTACCCAGAACTCAGACACTCCACCATTCGCTCTCCAGGCATCGAGATCTGCACCAAAGGGTGGGACCATGGCAAGGATCTCAGAGAGGCCCTTCCTGGGCTGTTCCTATTGAAACCACATCAGCAAGGAAGCACATATATGCAGTTGACAACTTACCCCCTCCTCTTCACCCTCCATTGGCTCCACAGTGGTCTCCTTCACATGGCTTTCCTGCGGGAAAGGTCAGTACAGGGCACACAACTAGACAAGGGAGGAACTTGCCCTGGGTGACTTGTCATCAGCCTCACCTCCATCCTCTGTGGCATGCTCCTCAGTGGCTGTCTTGGGCTCCTGCTCCTCCTTGGGCTCCTTGTGTGACTCCAGTTCCTTCTTGATCCATGTGGACGATCTGGTCAAAGAAACCCTTGACTTCGGAGTTGAAGTCTTTGAAGGGGGTGCAGATGCCTTCTTCAAGGGTGTCACCTTCATGGACACTGGCTTTGTGTTCAACACTGGGTGACTGGCCACAGGCTCCAGCTCTGGCATCTACACAACAGTCAACAGAGGGAAGGACACTAAGGAAAAAGGAAGGGACACCTGGCAGGGGGATCCTCCTCCTTGGGCTCAGTCACCTTGTCATGCAAGGACTCTACCAACTCCATTGACTGAGTCTTCTTACCAGCAGTCTTCCAAGCCCTTGAACCTTTTTTCAACTCTGTGGCAGAGGCCTTCTTGCTCAAAGATGCCTTGGGCTTCATCTTGGTGGACGAAGGCTTCTTGCCGGAGGCAACCCCAGTGCTGGAGGGAGCCATGGAAGAGTCAAGTGATAGAAAAAGGAGGCAATAGGATGGTGGTGGAAGAAAAGAGAAAAATTATAAGGCAGTGGTGTACGAAAGGTCCCGCCATGCCTCTCTTTATACGCTGGGTCAAAAAAGGTCCTGTCAAGGAAGTTCAAAGGCCTGAGGTTTAGAGCATGCTTCCTTGACAACTGAATGGCCTTCGCACATAGGCCCTGACTCAAACAAAGCTTGCACCACCATATCGCTGTCTACTGCCACTCGAAAGGCCACCCTGAACCACCGATCCGAACCACCCCCCACCGTGACTCATCAGCCAGTTCCAGAAGATTCCTCAACAAGGTCATGTGACTGAGGACAGTCACTGAATAAGTCCCCTGTGAGATGTGTTGCACATTTGAGTTTTGAGCTTGAATCTGACCTTCAAATGACATCTTGAACTCAGCCAGACCGGACTACTGGAAGCAAGAAGTGGACCCTAGACATAGCATTAGATAATGTAGATTAGACATAGATTAGTAGTAGTCTGAAGGTCCAAACTGCTCTGAATGTATATAGGCAGATTCGGATACTTTGGATAGGGACTCTCAGACTCCTCTCCCACTTACACTCTACTGCACTCATTCAAGACAGGTGATCTGTTACCTTACAACTAATACTACTGCTTTACTTTACAGTCACTCCTTGCCCTAGCTCCCCTTTAGACGGATCCAAGCCTCGATTCAACCACTTGACCTTTGGAAGCCACTTTTGTTCACCTCATATGGCTTGATCCCCTTCCCTTCCTCATTCGGACTCCCTTTGGATTGCTGTGACAGGCCTCAAAACTCACACAAGACTCTTCAGATTGGCATCTGAGCGGCTCTACCTTAGGAGGCCACAAGTCAATTAGGCCAGATTTTGTCTATTACTACCTACTATGATGTATGGGCCACCACTGTTGACTCCCCCTTCAGCAGACCTTCTCCTGACACCTCATAGCGAGGTGTAGAGTACAGTTTCTAAGTCATCTCATCATCTTGAACCCCCCTTCTACACACACCCAAACACCCTGCCCTCATAAACTTGCCTTGACTCCACAACTCTTGCTACACTTTTCAGCTGTCTATAACTGACTCACACCACCCACTGGGACCCCCCCGTAACCCCCTTGGACCCCCCCAATAATCCAGCTGGCCCTGGTGACTTGGATATCAAATAGTACTGCTGGTTAGAGCCACTTCTAACCATGGTAGACCCCCCAGCACTTCATCTATTGTTTGGGATTAGTGTGTGGTGACCTTGCTAGACCTAGTACCCTCACAAGTATTCAAGGCAATCAAAGAACTTAAAGCATCCAATGCCAATCACCTTCACACCTCAGAGTGGACAGAAGAGTCTGGCCTGATCCTGTTTTGGGGAAAAGTCTATATTCCCAAGAATGAGAAACTTCGAACCAAGATTGTGCAACTTCATGATACACCTGTTGCAGGACACCCAGGATGATGGAAGGCACTAGAATTGGTCTCCAGGAACTATGTCTGGCCAAACATAAGCCATTTTGTGGTCCACTATGTTGACACATGCCATGCATGCAATCAAACCAAGGTTTACCCACAAGCACCTACAGGACACCTCATGCCCAATCGAATCCTCACTAAGCAATGGCAATGCATTACTACAGACCTTATCACTTCACTACCATATTCCCAAGGCTATGATGCAATTCTGGTAGTGGTTGATTGCCTCACCAAGCAAGCTCACTTTGCACCAATACAGAATGAGGTGTCATCATTGGGTGTGTCAGGGCACACCATTGAGTGGAGGCTGAACCCAAAGGTTTTGGGCAAGGCTGCAACCTATTGGGGTGATCTGACTGCCAAACAACCACTAAGCATCCAATAGCTGGACATTGCACCTCTTGGGGGTCTTCAAATGTCTGCTTCAGGATCTCTCATGGTATCAGCCATGTCAGCCACATGGAATAGTGAAGGTGATATGGGGAGGGAGTCACTTGTCCTGATAACATCAACAGTTGACCATGCTCAGCATGTCAAAAGAGTCAGTATAAGAGAATTGGGAGGGGTAGCAAGAGGGATGTTGTAGTTGACCAGTATTGAGGTTGAACTACAAGGTATGGGGAAGTGTGGATGACCAATCATGTTGACATTGGACTCAAGCAGCACAAGTCAGTGGAGGTATCACACAGGTATCAGTGGGAGGGGATGGGATCCTACAGAAAGGCATTTGGTATCATGTGGAGTTAAACTGTATTTCATTCATGATTGAGTAAGCTGCTTAAGGCTGCTGGAATAAAATAAGGGTCCCTGGCCAGAATCCCTGAATCCCGGGGACCCTGGGAGTACATTTCCATGTGCGAGTCACAAACCCGGTGCAGCGCAGTACTGCACTAATAACTCTCCAACATGTCAAACACCTGCTTCTTAGCTTTCTTCCCTTCCACCCTCTCCCTCTTTGGCGACTAAACGAATCCTGCAAACATGTCTCATAACATCAACATCGACGCGTCTGAACATCCAGTGACAGCCGTCACAGTGTACCAACAACGGGCAGAGGTCCTTCGCGACTTTAAGGTCGAGCTCGTGGTACGCTTGATCCACTCAAATGAGTCACACGTAGTCATCCCTTTTACAGACAGGACAATCAGAGGTGCAGATCAGCAAGCTTCCGACATGCATGGACGAGTCTTCATTGCGCGTCGATGGCATCGGGAACGCAGTCATCTTCGATGTGATCTACGAGCGTCTTTCGCCAAAGCTCACTGTTCCGAAAGCGTCATCGGAGAAGGTTGCAGCGCTTGAAATCGAAGAAGCGACACTTCGCCGCGAGTTGAAGGTGCTCACTATTCAAACGTCGATTCTTGGCGACTTCTCGAAGAGCCTGACTGCGAAGGATGTGAATCCGTCGCAGCCTGTGGAGTTCATGGG